AACAATGTGTATTTCGTACGATTGTACCTTCATCCTAATGACCTGTGGGCCACAGTGTGGATCAAACTATCGAGGCAGTGCCCACAAAAGTGACTACTCCACGAGCACAGAAGTCTGATTCCACCATATCCACTTTGCCGCGTCACACTCTTGATAATAAAAAATTAGCATAGAACTACGAAGTAACTTAAATGGCTCTCGGCTCAGCTCCTGGTAGAAGAGTCAAAGTTTCCTCCGTGTAAAATGCACGGCAACCGCGGTACACTTGGTAGCACCTGTAGTCAATCTCATGACTGAGTCATACTAGAACATGTATCGTTCAAACACAAACACCCGAGACAAATCAACATCTTTACAAGCTTGTTTCTATCGTGAATTCCAGTGGGATGCAGTAACTGCTGCTCAAAGGGTTGGAAGCGATAATACGCTTGCGAGGCGCAGTAAGAGATTAATAAATCCGGGCGCTGGTGGACGCTCGTAGGACTAATACTCGATGCCCTAATGCAGCGGGGCTGTCGTAGCTCTTTTACTTAGAAGAAGCTAAGCTAAGATCGGGACCGTTCAATCTAAACTTAGAACCAATACACGTGTAGCGAATCGCAATCCGCTCACTCCAAGAGTACCCACAATCTTAACCTTAAGGCAAATGAACTTTTCCGTTCAGATGAAAACTGTATTTTCTGTTTTATTTGCGACAGAGTCGCCTGTATTCAAATATTTGATTTTACTATCTATATAGTAAAATACATAACAACTGGCACGTAGTGGCTTCTTTTTAAGGTGTAGCCGCACCATTGTGTGGTCACACCTTCTTGTGCGAGCCACTCCTTTACAGAACGGTACGTGTAACCCCGTTACACTCTCCCTCGTCAAAATTGTGAAAACCTACAATTCCCATTTAGCTGTCGCATCGTAAGAGTCTCGCGTGTCTAATACACCTCTACGTCCCCAGAACCTTCTGCACGCATACTCTGCTCAATGAGCTCTGTGTATAGTACACGAAAGAAACCTAGCCTCGCTGGTTTCGAGAGCGCCCGCGGGCAGAGCCTTTCTTCGTCTCCTGTACGCAGTACAACTTTGGACAGCACGTCTGCGGCTTCAAGGGAATCATACCCCAAGCCCTCGGAAATCAAGCACCGCGTCTGCCACAGGCGGCGGATTACCTCGTCGAGGATTTAAAGGCGGCTGACTGCGAGTCGGATGCTCCTTTTCCAGAATGGGAAGAAGAGGATGGCGAGGTGCGCCAGCGGCGCGACGCGAGCCCTGCTCGAACCTTGCGGACGCCGTGTTTATTTTCCGACCTCTCGATTTCCGAGGGAAGTTGTATCATTACGAATACCCTCGACGAGGCACAGAAGCAGCAGCTGGATGCTTGCCACAGGACGGCTTTCGTGCGCTCGCATCCACGGTCGGTCTTAGACCCTCGTATGGAAAACGGCTTTCGCTCTGCTGATCCCGCTACTGAAGCGAGGGACCTGATCAATCGATCGTTGAGCGTCTACGTTCTAGGGTTTCCAGCCACTACACAAGCTGAGCTTGACCAACGAATAGATATTCAAGCTCTTCTCTTGGTACCCCAAGAAATCCAAATGGATAGGTACCGCGCTCAAAGAGACTGCGCTCCTGTACCCGCAATGTGGACGGTTCCTGTGATGCTCGCCCCTACCAAAACCGCCGCAAATGATGAAGTGCTCTTTGATCGATATGTGCAGCGGCAACGGAAACTTTCCTCGCTATCCAACTTACCGCGGAGCCGGAAGGACACGTGGATCGCCTTCTTCGGTTCGAATTTGCTAACTCAAGGCGCATCGCCCACTTCCTTCATATTGGTGCCTTGCGACGTATGGATTAATCCATCACGCTCTCGCGAGCTCTGAAGTCTCTCACACGAGTGAGTCAACGACCAAAACAGCTCAGAGCCATACATTGAGCTCAGCTCATGGCCCTTCTGCTTCGACGGTTATGTCCGAGAAGCGCGGGACGTACGACGGCGCGAAACGTGATGATCCCTCTCATCATAAGCGTTTACGAGTCTTGCCGAAGTGGCGCCTCAAACTCCCCCGAGTTCTCAGAGTTTGGGTATCCCCGCCACTTCACAAGATATTTGGTTAGACCCTGTCGACGACGTTGACCCACAAGGTGTATCACGTCGTAGTGGACGCCACCAATCTCATCGAGGAGAGTGAGCGGCGGACGATGACGACTTGGTCGTGCGCAGTCAGGTGACTCGCGATGCTCTTCGAGCTTTGGAGGAAAAAGTTCGTCGTCATCGGCACTCCACCGAGCATCTTTTCGAGGTCGCCTACCTCTGTGCGACAGTTCTCAAGACCCTGAAGCATTTTGTGCACCGCTTGCTCACGTTGAAGATTATCGCTCCTAGCCGTTGAGCAGACGAATGCGTTGCTTCATGTGAAGGTGGAGCTCGTGGCGCCGATGAAGATGAAGATTTTGCACTCCGTGCTCCAAACAAGTTGCTGGTCCAGCTTCTGGGTAGTCGAGCACCTGTGGGCGTCGCCTCGGCGCCAATGCCTTCGCGTTCACTTGCGCCGGATCCCGGTACGACTTAAGCAAGTCCTCATAAAACACCGGGTGGGTGCGCATTCTTCTTGGAAGATTTAGCGTATACGCTAGGTACCGCATGGTCACGGCTTTAAAAGGTCCAATAAATCGTGTACAGAACTTCATCTTAAGGACAGCAGAAACTGCATGTGTAGGAAAGATTTTCGCATTCAGTAAAACCAGGATACCGACCTCTAAGTTTTCAATATTTTTTCTGCTTCTTTCTTCTGCATATTCTTTCTACATGTCTTGGGTCTCAGCCATCGCATCGCAAACGTGTGGTAAGACACTGAGTTTGGTAAACAGGAAGTCATCGACTTCTTTACTGACATCGCGGTGGCCGATCGGCTATTCCACCCCACCAATCTCTGAGCCATGGGATAACGGCGTCAGCGGGACGCGAGTCCAAATTTGCCGGTTCACATAGAACGACGTGTAGCCGGTAGAAGAATGCACTACATTGTTTAGTGCAAACTCCACGAGCGGCAACTTTGCGTTCCAGCGCTTCGGTCTCAGCGCAGTCGCTGCGAAGAACGTCTACAACGACGCGATTCACGCGCTCAGTTTGACCAACGGTCTGCGTATGGTCCGCTGTTGACATTGTCAACTTGGTCCCCAGCAACCTGAAGATTGTAGACCAAAACTTCCCATTGAAGCGTGGGTCTCTATCAGAGACAATTGACTCCGGGAGTCTTATGTTGTCAAAAGACACGATCCACAAATAGCGTCGCTGTACCGACACCGCCGATGGTGTCCGAAGCCGCCTCAGGATGAGCCATCTTGCTCAAACGGTCGACGGAAACCACGACACCCGTATTGCCTGCCGACTCCTTCGGTAGGCTAAACACAAAGCATATACTCATGGACTACCAACACTTGGAGAATACGGGCAAACTGGCCAGCGGCGCCGCATTCGAAGAGGGGTTTACCCTTTAACACGTCTCACACGTGCGCACATAGGTGCTCGACTTTCGTACACCTTGGGTCACCAGTTTTGGCAACTCATAGAGCTGTAAGTCTTTTCACGACCGAGATAACCCGCTAAGTGAAGATTTGTGGACCTCATAGAGGATTGGTACTTCACATTATCTTAATGAGGAGCCACAATTGGCGGCGTATCCGTCGAATCGATGCATTTATACAGCAATCCGTTACTCATCGAATACCGGTGCAACCGTGCGCGTATATGCGACGACAATCTCTTGTCCGTGTTTTCTAGCTCCTTGCTCCTAAGAGCCGGTAGCAGCGCTAAGCACATATCATAATCTGCGTACGCGGTGCGAATAAAATCCGTCACGGACGTCGTTATATTTGTGACATGAGCTAGCTCATAATCCGGTCTGAGTGGTAACGCATCAGCCAATGCAGTCTGCTTTCCTGTCTTTTACTTCACCTCGAAGTTATATTCTGCAAAGAAAAAGGTCCACCTGGCCATCATCTTGAGAGGTCAGGCGACTGGGTCGCAGTGCGTAATGACGCATGATCTGGGTAGATCACAAATGGCTTGAAGCCGAGCAGGCGCACCCTGAACTTAACAACTGCATACTTCATCGCAAGTAATTCCTTGTCGTAGATTGGGGGGTTCTTCTCTGCAGCCTTGAGCTGGCGATTTTCGAACGCGATCACCCGATCTTATCCTCGGCGTCTGCTTGCAGCACAGCCGATCGCAAAGGTGGCAACGCCAGTATTGATGCATGAAGGAGGCTGTCTCTGACCCTCCCAACGCTCGGTGTCCCAACACCATTCCGCATCCTTCTTGAGGAGATTCGATAATGGTCGTGTTATTTCTGCATAGTTTGCGCTTTACTTTTGCAAAAATTCTTTTTGTTCTTTGGAACCGGAGTCCATATTGGCCTTGACCTTAGCGGGATCCGCTCGAAAGTCACGCTTCCTAAAAAAGCACCACAAAAAGGGGATTTCTTCCGCGCCGAAGATGCATTTATCGGCATTAGCATACAGCTTACTCGGACGCAGGCACTCGAGCACCCGCTTTATAAAGGACGATGTGATTTTCCTCATCTGTCCTCCCGTGCCCCGGACTACTGTGGACGAAGATGCCGTCAAAGTATGTCTGTGCATTCGCACGGTGAGGCCTGGAGAACTGCGTCACGAGACGATTAAATGTTGCTGGGGCATTGGACAGCCCTTGGGGCATCACCAGCCACTCCCAGAGCATCCCGCTCAGAGTACTCACCGCTTTCCGTCTAATATCACTCGATCTCATGAGCATTTGGTAATACCCATCGACCAAGTCGAGTGCACTGTACAACCACCTTGTTCTGGAGAATATCCTCTCTAGGAATCGGCGTCTGTTCTGGAATGGTGGCATCGTTGAGCTTATTGTAGGTGTGAGCGATACAACACTTGCCGTTCGGCTTCCGAACCCAAAACGTGGGTGTCAAATAGGGAGGCTTGCTTTCACGCACCATTTCTGCCTCGGGCTTCGGCATTATGGTATTGAACACAGCATTCAAGTAAGCAACGGAAAAAAGGCCTCGATAACGTCACACTGCTTCTTGGGCGCGGACCATTGGCACGTTACGCAGTATTTGGCTTTCGAAACTACGTCGATCTCATGACGCACACCTTGGTCCGGACGTAGGACCGACGGCGAGTCTCTGGAGACGACGTCTGTAATTCTTTTACCGAAGAACAGTTCAGATCCAAGGAATTCTTCCGGATCGACGATCCACTTCGTGCGTTCAGCACCCTCTTGGTGTCCTCCATTACAGCGACATCAAGAAGCAACGACGAGTTGATCTCCTCTTCCGGTCGAAAAATGACCACTTTGGCTAAGTTGCCTGCCTTCAAAGCACTGCCAAACACTTCGAAGAATATCTCGTCCAACTTAAGAAAAAAATCTACCGCAGAAATAGCCTCGAGGGTGACGTCGCCGTTATTCTACCCCGTCGAACCGTTGACGAGGGTGTATAGCTGTGCACAATCGACTACGGTAGACACTTCGTGACTCAGGGTCGACGTCCAACGTCTTGCAGCTAGCGTACAAGGTTGCCCTCGCCTCTCCACAGACGCAGCGGGGCTGCCGTAGCTTTGCGCTAGCGGATCGCAATCCGCTGCCTCTAAAAGTACTTAAAAGCCTTTACCAAGGCAAATGAACACTTATGTTCAAAATCGAAAATGAAATTTATTTCTATTTTTATCCTAATGTTAAAAGTTAAGATTTTCCTAAATATGTTAAGTGTATATAGTAAAATCTAAATACATGCATAACTACTGGGTACCTAGCCCCGTACCGTATTCCTGTTTGGGTGTGTGGTCGCATTATGCACATCTCGCTTGACACGCGCATACCCTTGTTATTAGGGTTCGTGTAACCCCGTTACACTCTCCCCCATTAAGATTGAGAGCATTTACAGTTCCAATCAATTATTGCCTCAACGA